AGAGCTGGAACAAAAAAAAATGTTAAAATTTGTATGGAAACACAAAAGACCCCGAATAGCCAAAACAGTCTTGAAAAAGAAGAATGGAGCTGGGGAAATCATGTTCCCTGACTTAATCATGTTCCCTGACTTCAGACTACTACAAAGCCACAGTAATCAACACAGTGTGGTACTGGCACAAAAACAGACACATAAATCAATGGAACAGGATAAAGTCCAGAAATAAACCTACACACGGATGGTCCATTAATCTACAACAAAGGAGGCAAGAATATACAATGGAGAAAAGATAGTCTCTTCAATAAGTGGTGCTGGGAAAACTGAGCAGCTACCTGTAAAACACAAATTATATTCTCTAGCACTATGTACAAAAATAAACTCAAAATGAATTAAAGACCTAAATGTAAGACCAGATACTATAAAACTCCTAGAGGAAAACATAGGTAGAACACTCGCAGACATACATTACAGCAATATATTTTTTGAACCAGCTCCTGGAGTATTGGAAATAAGAGCAAAAATAAACAAATGGGATCTAAAAGCTTTTGCACAGCTAAGGATACCATCAACAAAACGAAAAGACAACCTACAGAATTTGCAAATGATGTGACTGACAAGGGACTAATTTCCAAAATATATATTCATACACCTTAATATCAAAGAAACAGGCAACCCAATCCAAAAATGGGCAGAACTAAACAAGCAATTCTCCAATGAAGACATACAAATGGCCAACAGGCATATGAAAAAAGGCTCAGCATTGCTAGTTGTCAGAGAAATGCAGAACAAAACTACACTGAGATATCACCTCACATCAGCCAGAATGGCCATCATTGAAAAGTCTACAAATGATAGAAGCTGGAGAGGGTGTAGAAAAAAGGGAACCCTCCTACACTGTTAGTGGGAGTGTAGATTGGTGCGGCCACTATGGAGGACAGTATGGAGGTTCCTTAAAAAACTGAACATAGAGTTACCATTTGATCCATGTGATCCAACAATCCCACTCCTGGGCATATATCCATAGGAAACCTTAATTCAAAAAGACATCTGCACCCCAATGTTCATAGAAGCACTATTTACAAAATAACCCAAATGTCCATCAACAGATGACTGGATAAAGAAGATGTGCTACATACACACAATGGAACACTACTCAGCCATTTAAAA